TAATATCGTGTATCGGCGATCTCACAGGCTGACGATAGGACGATATGAAAATTGAGCATATCGCCCAACACTACTAGTAACTTTTGATGATGAAATGTGCTTTAAAGGGTTAGTTCACCCAAAATGAAAATAATGATATCATTTACTGACCCTCATGTTGTTCCACACCCAAAAGTATTTTGTGTATGTTTAAAACACAAGTGAATATACTTTAATGAAAACAGAGATTTTTGTTCATGCATTGAGTCCACACAGCTACCACTTTGATGCTTAAAAAGTTCTTAAAGAGATTGTAAAACTAATTTATATGAATAGAGCAGAGCAGACACGATTGCCTTATATGATGAACAGATTTAAATTAGGCTTTTATTCACAAACAACGATCAGCAAACAAACAGTTCCTGTGAAAGCTCAAACGATACTGCATAACACGAGAATGAACCTCACTGGTTCTCCTGCTTGATCTTCCGTTTACCATATCTGATGTTTGCGTTGATAAATGTTTAAATTAGGGATGGGCATTTCAGGCATAAATAATATTCGAAGGTCGCCTGGTATTATTCGATTATTATTTGAAAATTGCACCCCTCCCCGAATGCATGCACACACACACACACACACACACATGTATAGGCTACAGTACACTGCACACCCATTAACAGAGAGAGGGAGAGAGACCATTCACGCTTTCAATCTGTATGTTAACAAACGGTTTAATTCATTAGGGAATAGGCTATCTTAACTCGAGCTATATAATGATTGTAACGTGCTAAACATATTAATATTGTAGCAATCAAAATAAGTGAAAAGACTCACTTGACGGTTTTGGCTTTTCTTTTATTAAGGTGAGCGCTCATGAAAACCAGTGCTTGGGCTCCGACAAAAACTGAAACACTTCTCTTTTTCCCCAAAACTCCACCCACACACGAGTGCACAGACTCGATCTTCAGAAGAACACCCACCCCTTAAAGCCCCTATTCAAAAAGAACACATAACACATGAACAGAACATACATGGCTTAAATCACACCTGACAGAACATAACACACTTCTCAGACTTGCTACACTGTTCCCCACTTCACAAAGTTCCTCGACCTCGAGGGAACGAACAAAGTCCCAGAACCGACTGTGCTCGGCTGCAGTCCTGCCTCGCCCTCTGGGGTAGGTATAACCGTAGAGGAGCCCGGTGCCAGGGCTGCAGCGGCACCTCCTCTGTAAGGTGCCAGTCTATCCCGGTGCACGGCCACCTTCCTACCCCTTGGAGGCAACGGAACCCGGTAAACAACTTCTCCAATTCTTTCTAGTACACTGCATGGCCCGATCCACTGGGAGTCGAGCTTAAGGCACCTGCCCTTCTTTCTCTGAGGGCTGTACACCCACACTATCTC